ACCGTGTAATTTCGTCACCTATAGTTTCGTCTGGAACTCGCATCGGAGGATCGTTTGCGCTCAAAATAGTCAGATGGCTCCCAGCTTATCCCAAATTCATGTCTTATGCAGTACCTTGACAATTTCAAGCTCTCCACTATAGATAGAGAAGAATATACAGGCCATGAAAATCTCTAGGTTTTTACAGTAGCGGCGAACCTGAGATCAAAGAAATCCTCAATGGCTCCCCGGCTTTAGCTTCGCACAGAACAGCCCACTTCTTTGGTCTTTTTCTCGTTTCTGGCAGAGTTTCATCGAGATAGAGTTATTGAATGAAGAGGAATACTCTATTCTACGCATCCTGTATTGCTACAGCCTCCAACAACATATCTTCCTTGCATTCTGCAACAATTTTGACACACTATTGCATGTTTGCATACATTCTTCTCAGAAACAAAATATTGTTATTCCCGAAGTGACGTCAAAGGCCAACTCGTCCCATTCTCCGCTATTCCTTGGTCGTGAACATGGAAAAGGGCAAATTTACAAACTTTAAAAATTCATAAAAAATTAACAAAAATAGCTACAACAATAATTTTTTCGCAGTGGTGATCAGGGGAAAAAGGAAATTTATATTAGTGAAAAACAATTTGGGGGTTAGTGGCACTTTAACGGGGTGGCTGTATAACGGGATAGGGTCAAATTTCATAACTGGTCTAAATTGAGTAACATCTTAAAAGAATCTAACAGATATATCACAATTGCACTACTAAACAACTGTTCTTAAATAAGCACCTGGAAAGCCTAAAATTTTTAAAAATTGAAACTGTAATCACTACATACAATATTAACAATGGAAAGATGAACATAACTGGTTTGAGTGGTTCAATTAACAGGGCAAAATTAGAAAGGATTATACAGATTGGGATTTCAGAATGTGGCTGTAACGGCTGTATGTAATGGGGTGGCCATATTAATATGGTTTTCTCATTAAAAAATTATAAGAAAATGTTGGGCATTTCGCTGGCACAAAAAAAAGTGGCTGTAATAATGAGGTGACCATATTAATAAGGTGACTGTAAGGTGCGCAGGCTTAAATAAAGGGCATGCACAATTCAATTCCACAGTAGTTGTTAAATTTGTTGAAAACTCTTTTTTAATTACATTATTTTTGTACTCTAACAATATCAATGAATTAAGGCTGAACTCAAAATCGTGTAAGACAAATTTTAATTTTATGCACCAGCTTGCACACTTAATTAAGCCCTTCATTACTCAAGGAAAATAGGCGTCAACAGCCATTCTCTGTTGCTTCCAATTCTCTACAAACTTAAGACATGACAGGTTGTAAGATTTAAGGTGGCTTACTACAGTTTTGATGGATTATAACAGCCCAACTTCTAACTCTTTTGAAAAATGTTCCAAGATGTTTTTCCTTTCTCTATTTACTGTTTACTTAAGTCTTTTGCCATTCTATGTGAAACTTGAACAATTAAACGTCAACAAATGGCCAAAATGAATGACCAAGTACCTAAGGAGAGGCTGGGCACTAGTACATTAAATCACGCTTTTCTCAAGATCTACCCGTATGACCCCACCTCAAAATTTCAGGAATAAGAAATTGGCTCTGATTTAACATTTCATGTAAAGTGGAATAAAATCATCTAAAGAAGACCACGACAGCAATCTGAGGAAAGTCCTTGAGCGTATAAGAGAGGTCGGGATCAAGTGGAACGCTGAGAAATATGTTTCTGGAACAACCAAGTGAGTTACTTTGGTCATGTGCTATCCGACAAAGGAGTACAGCCAGACCCCAAGAAAGTTGCCGCTATCCAAGAGATGGAGCCACCAAGAAACAGACAAGAACTCAAGACCCTACTTGGAATGGTCAACTATCTGGCTAAATTAACACCAAACCTGGCAGAAACCACTGCACCCAAGAGAAACCTGCTAAAGAAAGACTCTGAGTTTGTATGGGATTGTGTACACGACACTGCCTTCAAGCCGCCGAAGGCGGAGTGCTTTTATTGTTTCGAGGTGTTTGGAGCCCCTGATGAAAAACAAAGCACGAGTTTTTGAGCTGGCTTCTCAAACTAGTGTGAAAATTTAGTAGAATTATTTCCGAAGAATAGGTAATAAGAAGGCATGCTCAATTGGCTATTGTTTGTTTCTTATTTGTGGTAAATGAAATGAATATTTAATATGCAGCGATGCAGGCGGGTTTTTTGGTAGATTAACATTATGCTGCGTGATGGAGGTCGAGTCCGGATCAGAATGATTTCGTGTTCCTAAAACTTCTTCTCAATAAAATGTTCTGGTGAATGATGCTGTTCCAGCTTCAGCTAAGTATGAAAACAAGTGGGCTGTGAGCATTTTTGCTGAATGGCAGAGGTTAAGATAAAAATTCAAGTTTCTTGATCATTGTTTTGATCAGTTTTTGAACTAGTCGAATGTGTCTTGATCGGTATGTTCATTGGGTATCAAAATACATGCACCTGACCCAATTGATGTAAGCTGATTGGGTCATCAGCACATGAATAGCTAATGAATTTGAGAACTACAGTTCACAAGCCCCTAGAGGCCATTCTGAGGAAACCCCATTTTGCAGCCCCAGCCTGCCTGCAAAGAATGATGCTATGTCTTCAGAAATATGATTTAACTGTTCGCCACAAGCTGGGTAAAGAAATTCCGGTAGCTGACATGTTGTCGTGTCTGCACCTTAAAGAAACTGATCACACACATGAGGCTTTCGATGCTCAAGTCCATCTAGTTGTGGC